AGCGGGAATGGACCGGGAACGGAGAAGGAACGGAGAGGGAATGAACCGGGAAGGGAGAGGGAATGAACCGGGAACGGGGCCGGGAACGGAGAGGGAACGGAGAAGGAACGGGGCCGGGAAAGGAGAGGGAATGGACCGGGAAGGGACAGAGAACGGGGCCGGGAAGGGAGCGGGAATGGACCGGGAACGGGGCCGGGAAGGGAGAGGGAATGGACCGGGAACGGGCCCGGGAGCCCGCGGGGGCAGCGGGTGCGATCGCCCCGGGCCGGGCGGTGCTGTCCCCACCTCTGTCCGCTCGGAGCCTTCGGGGCTGTTCTCACGCTGGAGAACTGGAGGTTCCCGAGCCCCAGTTCGGTCTCGGCTCTAACCTCTGCTGGTGCATCCTCTAAGTTTATTCTCAAACACTGGAGAAAAAAAACCTCCACAAGTTTAGCCATCATTTTATTCTGAAACATCGGGGGAAAAAACCCAAAACAACAGCACAGGGATTTGCCATAGCGTTTGAAATATTGGTCAGTTTGCTGAGGTTTGGGATTTTTTCAGGAGACATCACCACTTCTGTCCCTCTCTGTGAATGCAAAATACTCCAGTTTGTTTGGGAGCACTCCCTGCATTGCCACATGTAGCAAGTGTAGCTCTTTTTAAAGTACATTACAGATCTTTTTAGGTACAAAGTTCACAGTACAAGGAAAATTATACCTAAACCTATCAACAGCATGAAACACCTTTTTTATTTTTCATTTGCTTTCTAGATATGTGAACAAATAGAAATTGTGTTTTCCAAAGGTTAAATCTCAGAGCTGAAGGAGTTGTAGAGAAAATTATGCATGGGAGTGTCTTGCAAGGGCAGGCTGAGGTAGAGGAGAGCCTGAGGCTCCAGGCAGGACCTTGTAGATGTGGAAAGTTGATAAATGCCAACATAGCTGGGAGGTGTCAAGTGTAAGAACACAACAAGATGATGGAAATTCTTCTCAGAGGAAGCATAAGCTGCTGTGGAAGTCCTTATTTGTCCCCAGAGAGGGAACAAGGCAATTTGCTTGTGTGAAGGGGAAGAAGTTATTCAGGCCTGTATCAGAACAGTGTGGTCAGCAGGACCAGGAGGTGATTCTGCCCCTGCACTCGGTGCTGGTGAGGCCACACCTTGAATCCTGTGCTCAGTTCTGGGCCCCTCAGCTCAGGAGGGACATTGAGGGGCTGGAGCAGGTCCAGAGCAGAGCAACGAGGCTGGGGAAGGGACTGGAGCACAAGTGCCATGAGGAGAGGCTGAGGGAGCTGGGGGTGTTCAGCCTGGAGAAGAGGAGGCTCAGGGGAGACCTTCTCACCCTCTGCAACTCCCTGACAGGAGGTTGGAGTCAGGTGGGGGTTGGTCTCTGCTCCCAGGCAACCAGCAGCAGGACAAGCGGGCACAGACTCAAGCTCTGCCAGGGGAGGGTTAGGTTGGATGTTAGGAAGAGATTTTTTAGGAAGAGAGTGCTCAGGCATTGGAATGTGCTGCCCAGGGAGGTGGTGGATTCACCATCCCTGGAGGTGTTCAAGCTGAGACTGGATGTGGCACTTAGTGCCATGGTCTAGTGACCACAGTAGGGTTGGACTGGATGATCTTGGAGGTCTTTTCCAACCCAGATGATTCTATGATTCTAAGTTGAAAAGAGATCAAAACAAAAGGACAGTGTCCAGTAAAAAGGGCATGGCCAGTGCAGCCCTGGTTCCCACAGGAAACACGAGCTCTGTGTGCCCCAGTTTTTGGTGCTTCAGGTCTGATTTTCAGGAGCACTGAGCATCCAGGCCTCCCACTGCTTTCATCTGGAACTGCAGAGCCTCTGCCCCTCCAATGCATCAGGCCCAAGGCACCACACCGAACAGGTCACCCCATGTCACACCGTTATGTTAAAAGCTTGTCCTAGAAGTTTACTAAAAGCAACACTTTTTCCCCCCCTTCAGTGTTATAATAGAACAGAAATAGCCTAAAGAGCTCCGACAGATGGAGGAGGACTTTTGATTAAAAAATAAATTCTGACTCACTATTCAGTTTTCTGGATGTAATAATAAAAAAAAAAGAGTCCATGAATATGAATAGTGCTGGAAAGAATGGAGTGGAGATGAAGGGAGGTTAGAAGGAAAGGCAGGAAAGAGCTGAGCTGATTTACCTACTTGTTTCTAATGTCTGTCAGGAAAATTCTTTGGGTTTGCTGTAGTGCTGATGAAAGAAAACAAGACCATTAGTGGACCCCTGAAATTTTCCTGTGATGGATTCCTTGGAAAAAATCCTGCTGGCTGATAAATCTGAAGAATACTTTGAAATTGTACCTGTTAATAGCAAAATGGTGGGAAAACTTCAGCTAAATAGTAGAGTTGCACAGAATCACAGAATTTAAGGGTTGGAATGGACCTTACAGATCATCTAGTCCCAACCCCTGCCCTGGGCAGGTCAAATCAAGGGAAGTCAAGATTGTTTTTTCCTTGATCTACTCCTAAGCAAAAATGACTAATAAGGGTATGGAACGCCACCAAAGTTGTACATCTGTGTGTGGAGACTGGAAATACAGATGAGCAAGTCCAAGCATCCAGACACCCAAATTCTACACCCTTGACTTCTCCCCAGCTCTGATCTTGTAGTAAAAGTACTCCCAGGGCACAAAGGGTTGCAAAAAACCCCAGTCTGTGCATGGGTAGGACAGTTCCTCATCACATATCTCAAGCCACAGCAGTCTAATTTTAGATTCAGACCTCCACAAACTTCCTTTCTGACAGCTATTCTGGCCCTCTAATCACATCATTGGTGGCTAAACATCTTGACCAAGGACAGAATTTGAAACACACAATATGATTAACCCCCACATTATCGCTGATGTAATATCCCAGCACCTATTAATGTACTTGGACAGGAGGAAAGAATCTAATTAAACATTTATTTAATAGTAAAATACAAACCAAAATATCAACCTTGGGCAGTAATATGTCAACTGGCAAATAGGTATTTTTCACCAAGAAAAAAAATGCATTGATGTTCACAAACACAGGATTTTGGGAATGCACTGGCACAAAACCCAGTCTGGCACGTGAATCCAGAACTTCAGGGGAGCAGTTCCAATCCTGGAGTGTCAGCTGGAGTTGGGTGGATCACTGGGAGACAGGGAGGTTGCTGTCAGTCTGGTGGATCCTGGTACTCACAGTATCACTACTCACTGTGACTGCTGGGACATGTCAGATCACTCAGAGCAATATTGCCCCAACACATCCAGTCAGCCAGAGTGAAAGTATTGCTCACAGTTTTGTCACGATGAAAAAGATCCATGTTCAAGGTTGAAATGACAAGGATTTACCATGGAACAGCAGTTCATCACCACAGGTAATTCATGTCCTGTATGAAAGTTCAAAATCTCCTCTTGGCTAATATTTACATCACACCATAAATAGGTAAAAAACGGTGGAGGAAAACCAAGTGCAAAAGGGTAACACTATCATAATTTCCTGAAAACAAGCTGCCTTTTAGCTCCTTATTCTTCTTAGAAATTGAGTATCACTATTTAAAAATAATCAATATTTCTAAAAATATTCCAATGCAGGATAAACATTCATCTCTCAGGTGTAACAAAAATAGGTTTAAAACTGG